TTTTCATTGCTTTTGAAGGTTTCCGAGAGCTCGTAAACCCTTTCTCAGAAACCTATAAAGGGTTTCATATAGTGACAAACCCGGAAACCTCCTATAGGTTTCCGAGAAAACCTTTTTTTTTTAGAGTGTACTCTAGTATGAGAAAAGGATGTAATATTAGATCACACGTAGTATAACAACTTCAAATAGATTCAAAAATAAAAATAAAAATAAATCTTACCACACTATTCAGTATTAATAACTTACGAATAGGACAAGGTTATTGAAGTCAATCTCCAATTTTTAAGAATTCCTACTTATCAGATTTGAATCTTTTCTATATTCAAAACTGGCATAACAAAAAATCCTCTCATTACATTGATGATAATCTATCCCTAATATAAAAGCCACAAAGTTCATATGTTGTTGCAGACATTTATTAATTTATCTAAAATATTATTGATCAATCTTAAATAAACATCAAACACATGTATAAATTTTAATACTATAAATAGCTTGACATTTATTTGAATTTGCACATCTCATTTCTGAACGAATTTATTCGCTAAATTAGGTTTTCCATAAAAAAAAGTTTTATGGTATTTTTTTCTAAATTTTATTTGACTATACAATCAGAAATGTATTTATTACCTTGAATCAATTTATATTTATCATCATCATAAGTGTCAACTGGTTGTAAATATACGTCAGGTTTATCTTCATTAGCTTTGAATATCTAGAATAAGATGTACAATTGAAAACATAATTGAAGTTTATACTCACTAAAGATGAAGAAAATTTTAAATCCTATAATATTATCTCTTCATATCTAGTCGTTTCATATCCAAACTATATTAGTATAGGCAAGATGAGGAAAGTACTATTTCTAACTTAATTAGATTCTGAATTTTTTTCACAATCATCTTTATGGTGAAAATGAATCTATAGTTGTTCTTTTACGTATATCAGCATTTGAAAATAACAACGTGAGAAACGGATGTAGTTGTAGTCGTTGATATTGGTATAGATCGAACGTCAATAATTAGTATTCATCTTTCTCTAAAATAAAAAAAAAACTTTTCGTTATTCTACTTTAATTAACATGAATATATTCATATCTGAAAATTTCAAAATTAAATCGAAATATCAACTGTAAAATATTTAGAAAAACTTCAAAGGATTAGTGATTTTAAAAAATTCACTTATTGAATTAGAAATTATATGTTGAGAAGAACGTAGATTAGGTTCAGATGTGTTCGTATTTGTTGACAATGAAAATGGTATATCTTTCAGCGAAGTGTAAGTTTTTTTTCTGTAATTAACGTACAAGTATCGTCTGTTTTTGTGATAAGAGATCAACAGTTTTACTGCGTACATTGAAGGCACCTATATTAATTTATTACCCTAGGAGGAAACGGCGGATTTCGTATTCCCAGGATTTCCAGTATATTTCTAGAACTCTTCAACAGTCTACCAGAATTATACATCAATAGAACCATGAATTTTTTCATGCAGTATACTATTTAAGATACTATATACCATCTATTTACAAGAGTTATTTAGGCCAAAATGAATGGAAATTGTCTAGATTTAAGAGTCCCTGACAGTCGATTTTTTTGCAGTATATCTACTGCCATTTGTTTAAATCAAACTAGCCCAAGCTGGTACTTTTATATTTTATAGAGCTTTTGATTCTCTACAATTTGGTAAAAAAATATTGAGAAAAGTTTACCTTCGAGCTGATTTAAAACTTGCAATGTCAGCGTTTTTAGCGGAAATTTGTTATTCTATGGTATATGTCATATCAGACCGAGCCCGTTTAACTCCGATATTTTGTCCTTAATTAGATATCATCATATATGATTAAGAATCACGTATTTAGATCTACATTTTTTATACTAAATATATAAGAATATATACAAGATTAGTGGCTTCACATAGAAGTACAAAATACTAAGAGAGTCATGAGTAATAAAACTCTTGAAAGGCAATTTTTAACATTTAAGGTAATTCTTTTCAAAATTTAGTCAACATTTATTCGTTTGCTTGACCGAGAGAGCTGACATTTTTATGATATACATAATTAATCAAGATCTTTTAGTTTTGAAATTTTCACATTGATCGATGTATTTTATCATTAATCATAACTATAGAGCTGAAGCTTTCAGAAATAAAAGATCTTAATCAGTTACATATGCCCTAAAAATTTTACCTGGGTAGTACATCTTCAGAAAAAAAATTCGCCAGAAAAAAGACCAATGTACACGTTTTGACAAAGCAATTTATACTAATTAGGTTTTAGTTCATTACAGGAACTATCAGAATATATATAAATCTCAAAATCGAGTTTTTTTCGAAAAAATGACTTTTCCAAGGGGGAACTTGAATTGATGACTTCATCATATGTATTTTATCTTTATCAAACACTAATTTTACTAATCTCAAAATCAGCATTGAGCCCTGATTATTTTTCACTAGTTCATTTTCTATAATAACACAACTGAATTTCTCATACATGAAGTCGTCTTCTAGCATCGATAAAAAATGTTTATCGCCTTTCTGTTGGAAAGTTTTACAGTCCAATATAGCAAAGTATGATGATTGCAAATATGACATTTTTCTTCGAAGACTTCAAAAACAAACTTTTGGACTGACAATCCTTTAAAATCCGAACTAGATTTGTCGAAAATACTTTCATTTGATGCAGAATTTTTTTCTATCAACATCTGTAAAAAAGTCTCAGACATTCAAATCCTTGCCTATCGATATATATCAAAAGCCACTCTAATCGGAATAAATTTTACACTTAATGAATTCTACGCGTATATTCCAGCGAAACTGTGATATTTGAAACCAGTGCAAAAACTGGAACGGATTAAATGTCCTTTAAATTGTTTTCGATCAAAATTTTAGGTGTAGCCTCTCAAGTTTATATGGAAGAATGAGTTTCATCAAAAAGTCACTTGGACAATGGAAATCCAGTGCGATACTTATAAAATGGCACTCGAAGGCACAATCATAGGCTTCTGGATATTTAAATAGTTGTTTTAGTGAAGTTTTTTCCAAATTTTTTTTTGAATTCAAACAAGGGTGGTCGTTGAAGTAAAAGTGTTCCAAGAAAAATCGATTTTCAAGTTAGAAATGATGTCATCAGAAAGAGCACAGCGAATCAGATATTCAGTCAAAAAACCTCGCTGATGCACACCTAGTTACTGTAACTACAGAAGACTAAAAATCATTATTTGCAAGGAATTCACCGAGTTGGAACTGTTTTTAACATATATCAATAGGCAACTGATACAGGAAAACATTCTACATCAAATGAATCTATCTTCGATGGTTCAAAATCAGATTTTAATGTATTTTCACGGCAAAAACTATTTCTTATGAGACTTTCAGGGAAGTGGTTCAAGTCTTTCTTATTGTCTTACTACTTTTAAAAAATGTCATATTTGCAACTAGCATACTTAGCTCTATAGGTGTCTAAAAGCTTCTAATGGAATAGCGAAAAATTTTTATCGATACTGGAGAGACCTCATGCATGAAAAATTGACTTGGGATAAAATGAAAAATAAACTCGTAGAAACTTATCAGAGTTCAATACTGATTCTGAGGCTAATAAAACTAGGGTTGCATTCCTTGAAACGCTTGCTCTCTAATTTGACACATCTTGTGTGCGGTGAAATAAAACTCTGTCCACAAGTTTCTTGCTCGAAAGTGATACCTAAACGGTTTTATTCTTCCGATTTGGTTTTTCTTGACAAATAAATATACATGAACTTCTAAGCACATTAATGTACCGGCGTACGTGTTTAAAACAGATATCGATACCTTTCAAACCAAGACCAGAAAGGTTCGACGTGTCGGAAGACGTTGTCGTTGTTTCACGTTTATTTATTGTACAGTCAGCTTTCCTAATCGTAGTCTATGAAGATGGTAAAAGCAACTAGAGAAACGATTCTATCATAGTTGAAAAACCCCTGAGAGTTTACTGCTCTTCTCTAAGATTATACCCAAAGAATAAAATCATACAGTGCTCAGTCTCTATTCATCGAAGCTGTTTGATATTCACTAACCTGAAGAATATAACTCTTGTAATTCTTCTTTCATATGAATTTTTGTTTTATTGTTTTTTCAATATTTCTTTTATATACTGCGGCAATACTTCTACATCTTGATCTAGGATCTATCTGGTTGGTGTTCTCAACATATTAGCATGTTTTTTTCTATGAAATTAAGTTCAAAGCACTAAGCAAATGAAAATATAATTGTTATGTGGGACACAGATTTCTATGTATGTTCCTAGTAGACTTTTGGGGATTATCATCGTACTCCCAGGATTTTCACTGGGTTTTTAGGGATTCGGAATCCGAAAAATCCGCCGTTTCTCCCTAGAGCCTGTATCTTTGTTTAATAAGAACCCTTGAAATGGAGCTCATATTTCTAATTTGTTGCCTTTTGCACTCCGCGTAAAAGTTACAATGCCATTGTATAGTCCAAGTGCTAAATCTTAACTAAAACAGATATAAATATAGTTATATGGATTAGGTAATTCATATGGTCCATCTAAACATCTTTTGATTTCATCTTGAGTTCAGTTCTGCCTCAAATAAACGTATTCAGTGTAGCATTAATAACCATCTTCATGTAACGAAAAACCTGTTGTATCATTCATATCAAGATTAACAGTTGTTATTATATAAAACCTTCCAGCTAGTGATGGTTGTGATGGATCACTTCGATTAATTTTATCCGGTCCAACTGAAGTCTTACCAATGACTCCATTATCAACCACACGATAATATACATATAACAATGAATCATCGTGGACTATTTTAAATTCAATTATATTTACATTTGAATTATATGTATGTTTTGGCATGTCAGTTAGTATTTTAGTGTGTGCATCATGGCAATCTGTAATTTTTAATGAAGGAAAACATGGACTTACTTGATAAACTGTATCATTTATGTTATTTCTTGAATCACTGTAAGATAGAATATTTAACAAATCATAAAAATTACCATCAATTATTATATTACGATGAGCTACTTGAAGAATAAAATTGAAAAAAAATCACATAAACATGCTTTTATATGAGTAACTAAAATTATTAATATTAAAGTACACTTGAATTGTTGTCTAAGCAGATAAATAATTTTTCATTATGTGTGGTTACGATAAGAAAAGAATTGAAATGAAAGAGAAAAAATGGCTTGATGGTAGGGTGTGGGTGTGGATATTGATGCGTAGGCAAGAAAATTTAAGTATGGATGTAGAAATTTGGATATGAGCGTATATATGTTTGCGTTTAATGCCCTCCTATCAAGCCCATCTGCAGTCACTTACACCCACACCCATTTGAATATAAATCTCTTTAGTGAAAATGTACAGCCCCGATATGTCGATAGATAGCCTTGGTTCGATCATAATAGCCGTCGGCAGTGAATGCCTTGTCAAGTTTCATTACAAATGTCTTGAATATTGTAAAACGATTTGTTTTGCAACAATTTAAACAGCAAGAATGTGTTGTCAATTTAGAATAAAAAGCACATCGGTTCGTACGAGGTTTAGATGTGAGTATGAGTGTGAGGTGTGAGCTTTGCCCACACGTAAATCAAACACACATTTTTCAGACAAACAGAGTGGATACCTCCAAAAAAAGTTTTGATGAAGGCATTCCCAGTTTGAAACATGAAAAATCCAAACAGATTGTGTTAAATGTGGAGACCTTGACAGAAAACGCAAAGTTTTACATTTCAATTATCGAAGTTTAAAATAAAAATCAAGTTTGCTCATTTTTCTGTCAACTAAAACGCTAACAATACGAGATTAACACTCAAAATTTGTCAAGTAGTAAAATCATCATCGAAGAGAAATTTATCAAAAATACTATCTATTAATGATACTGAGAATGAAGAAATTGACTCAGAATTTGGAACATTAGACCACGATTTTCAAGACATTGGTATCAATCCACAAGAGATCAGAGTGCTAGAAAGCTTTATTATGAATGCTAAAATGACACTTGCACCATATCTTTTGATGAATTGGTCAGCTACAACTGCCTCTCTAAGATTAAAGAGAAGCAAATAAAATATAAAACAGAACCAGAAATGGACATCGATTTTTCGAATAATGTCTCTCCTCTTCAAGCAGGATGGACTCAACGTACCGAAGAGGAGAAATAAGGATAAGGTTTTCCTTAAACGTGACCAACAATTCTGAGTCTTGTATGAAGTAAGTGTACAATAATTTGAATAATGCCTAAACTTCCGAGAAAGTATAAATGAACATTAATCAATTTGTAAAGTGTTTTCAGCTCTTTTGAATAACATGATGCTTATTTAAGACTAGCTAACGCTAACCCATTTTACCTTCATAAATTAAAATAAATAACAGCTCAACAGTTTATAGAGACTATGTGTCCATTAAAATATATTGTACTTGTGTAAAAAATACTTTAGATACGTCATAGTCTTCTTTAACTTTTGTTTTTTTTCCAGAAAAATATTTATAATAATTTTTCCTCATAGACACTGTCTAGTTGATCAACATTGTAAGCCATTTTTGGACATTGTTTGAAATTGTTAAATTTTTTTATAACCGTTCTTTAGAGAAGAAAGAGTTGTACAATATGTAAAAGATTCAGCGTGATATCTCGTAAAATGACTACATGGGACTTGGTACAATATAGTATATTGCACAAAAACCGACTCATTTTTCCAGTCGAAAATAGTGAGTCAGATAATATTTCATAGATAACTCTCGATTAGTCCATGAAAACCTAACATATTAAAAGATGATTTTCGTTCAGCGTCCGAAGCTGTATCTTTTGGTATATTACACGAAAAATTTCATTAAATTATTGTTATCTAAAAGAATCTTAACTTTCTATGCAGGATTTTTTATGGTTTTCCTCAACTAGAGCTCTTACCCCCTCCCCCGACAGATGCAATCGAACTAACTTTTCAATGGCTCAACCACATGCTCTAAAAGTTTGGATTTAAAGGTTTTAGATGATGCTAAACCAA